CTATAACCCTCCGCCCCCCCTCTGTCTCTCCCTCCAGTCCAGCACCGGACCTGTTCCTGTCCTGGCTGCCCTTTCGCCATCCAGAACCTGAAGACCCGGGACAGCGGGCTCCCCCAGCCGCGGGTCCAGTCCAGCCGGCGCCAGGAGGTCCAGATGCAGGCCAAGGAGGCGGGCGCCGGTTCTGTCGGCCTGGGCCTGTGCCTGGGTCTGGGCCTGGCTCTGGACGACGGCGCCGGTGAGCCGACCAGCCCGCCCAGATCGGAGCAGAGCCGTCACGACCCAGACGTCTGCCCCAGCCCCAAGCACAGCCTGGCCCACCAGCAGCACAACCCGCCGCCACGGAACCAGACCGGTCCGGCCCGGGACGCGCCGCCCTTCCCCTGCCTGTCCTGCCACCGCGGCTTCCAGAGCTGCGCCCAGCTCCTGCGCCACCAGCAGGGCCACGCCCAGCAGGAGGGCGGGCAGAGCCACCCCTGCATGCACTGCCACGCCGCCTTCGCCCGGCCCGGCCAGCTGCTGCAGCACCAGCGCGCCGCGCACGCCTCCAAGGCCGGCGGCTTCCTGTGCGCCGAGTGCGGCCGCGCCTTCAACAGCAACAGCAACCTGCGCGTCCACCTGCACGTGCACACGGGCGCGCGGCCCTACGCCTGCCAGGACTGCGGCAAGAGCTTCAGCCAGTCGGGGGCGCTCAAGATCCACCGGCGCATCCACACCGGCGAGCGGCCCTACGTCTGCTCCTACTGCGGCCGCGGCTTCCCCCACCTGGCCGGCATCCGGGCGCACCAGCGCACGCACACGGGCGAGAAGCCCTACCGCTGCCCGCACTGCGGCAAGTGCTTCACCCAGTCGGGGGCGCTCAAGATCCACTGCCGCATCCACACCGGCGAGCGGCCCTACCTGTGCGCCGCCTGCGGAAAGGGCTTCTCCAACCGCTCCGGCATCCGCTTCCATCAGAAGACGGTGCACGGGATCGCCCCGGACTGCGCGCCCGGCCCCAGCTCGCCCCCGGCCCCGCCC